AGCTTACAACCACGTACGCCGTCTCCATTGTAGATTTATGACTGGATTAACAGAACTGCACAAGACAACCCCAGAACAGTCAAAGCCATCCTTATTGGTTCTTCATACGAGAAGCGGCCGCTATACGTTCTCAAGGTAAAGCTGCATCCGTCAACTTGAACTTGTAGGAATTATAAGACTGTCCCATATTTACAAAACAGAAAGTTTTTGTTCATTCACAGAAAATAGATCATAGTAAAAACCCAGGAACATTTCTGTCATTTCATTGATTATCTATTACTTAATTACTTTGGTGTCGTTAAGAAAATGCAGTTAAAAGTCTAAAATGTCTGCCCTCCATCAGATTTTCCAAAGCCATCCAGTGGGCTGGGTTGGAGTCTTTTGCTGGGCTAATTTTGGCCCGCGAACCTTATATTTAACACTCACTGACTTTTCTTTTTACTCTTTGTACACTTTTAGGGGTAAATAATCAACATTGTTTATCCCATTAGACATACTTTAAGCTGTAAAGTGTTCAGTGTTGACAGCTCAGTTTACTTCCTGAGCACAGACTCATGTGTATGGCCTCTTTTTTCCTCAGCTGTCTTTCAATGACAGGCCAAATAGGAAAGCCATGTGGATTGACTGTGGGATCCACGCAAGAGAGTGGATCTCTCCGGCTTTCTGCTTGTGGTTTGTGCACCACGTGAGTCCAACTGAGCTGCGGTGTCTGTGTTTGTTCTCTGTTCTCTGTAATCGATTACATTTGTTTGTTTGTCTGTCTGTTTTTTTGTTAGCAGTTTCTAGTCACCACAGTGTTCAAGATATCATTTTCAAATTTTGTTTGATGGTAGATACCAGTAACAGCTCAAAATGATTTAATTTTGGTGCTAATCTGGTCAACCCCACGATCACACCAAAGGTGAAAGACATTCAAAACTGTATATTACCCACAGCTTCTTATGGATCACAACAATACATTATCTTATCTTATAGAAGCCAAAGTTCCAATCAACTAAAAACTAACCATTTTAGTATGTACTGTGTCAAGGTCATAGGTCAAAGGTCAGGATCACGTCAAATGAAGCTTTATGAAAAAGCTTTAGTTTCCACTGAATCATCCCCAAACGTAAAGCAACATATTAAGACGTATAACTTCACAATGACAGAAAAAGACTAATACACTACACCAGCGGTCCCCAACCTTTTTTGCGCCACGGACCGGTTTATGCCCGACAATATTTTCATGGACCGGCCTTTAAGGTGTTGCAGATAAATACAACAAAATAAAACTAGTACCGGTTTATTTAAAAAGAAGATTTATTCATAACACACGTGAAAAAACCCATGAAAACCGAGTTAACGATAAAAACGATAACAAAATAAGCCTCAACTCTCGCGGCCCGGTACCAAACGACTCACGGACCGGTACCGGTCCGAGGCCCGGGGGTTGGGGACCGCTGCACTACACTAGATTTCCATATTGACAATGCTGACATCAAACTTTATTTTAGCCATTGCCTTTGATGGGGAGTTGAGCTCTCTAAATGCTCTTTGTTGTAAATGCAATGGAGTCTGCTCTCTCTCGGAGCAGTTTCACTGAACGCTCTGCCGTCTGTCCGTCAGTCTTTGTCATTTTATCAGCAAAACACGGAAATTACTCGCATCCTGGACAGCATGGATGTCTACGTCCTGCCTGTGATGAATCCTGATGGATACAAATACACGTGGACGGCAGTAAGAACTCAGAATCATTTTTTCAATGTAAAAGAAGTCATTTTAAATAGATGTATGATTTTTCCTTATTTTTATTTTTCAGATTAAGAGAAGGTGGTGGAGGAAGAACCGTTCCATCAGTAATTCGGGTTTTTGCGTTGGCGTTGACCTCAACAGAAACTTTGATGTCGATTGGGGCAGTAAGTTTTCCTTTCCCTTTTTTTTTCTCATGTATGGACGCACTCGTTGATCATGCAAGGGTCTCTGTAGCTTCCACAAGGTCACATGTCGCTTTTGTGCCCAGTTAAGGGATCCTCTCAAAATCCTTGTGAGGAAATCAACTGCGGGCCGTTTCCTGAGTCTGAGCCCGAGACGCAGGCTGTGGCCAACTTCTTGCGCAGACACAAGAACATAGTTCAACTCTACATCACCATCCACTCCTACTCCCAGATGCTCATCTTCCCATATTCCTACACCTTTGATCAAGCGGAGAACCACAACGATTTGGTGAGTAGTCTGGATGATCCACGAGTCTATCCAACAGCAGTGAAAGACTTATTCAACTGTTGTGTCTAAACCTCTGTGAACACACATTGTTCATAAGCTTGAGATGGTCCAAGAAGCTGCCCAGAGGATCAAACGACATTACAGGAACACCTACACATATGGTCCTGGAGCAGCCACATTATGTAAGACAGCCTTTTTTCTTTTTCTTTTTTTAAAGCAAAGTCACTGTGTGAGTGTGAGAGTTTCTATTCTCTCTTCAGACCCATCATCTGGCGGCTCTGACGACTGGGCGCACAAACTTGGCATCAAATACTCCTTTACGTTTGAGCTCCAGGACCGTGGGGAATACGGCTTCCTGTTACCACCTTCTCACATATCCGGGGCCTGCAACGAAGCGCTGCTTGCGGTCAAGACCGTTGGTGTCAAGGTTTTGGAGAAAGCACAAGCTCCGGCAAACCATCACACGATCTAAGCAGTTTTGTGATTGTAATTAAACAAATTTTTAGTTTCACTTGAGGATCAGCTAACTTGTAACCTGTGTTCAGCACATAACGTCTCTAACATAACGTCTGTCTTGCAGAGATTGAGTGGAACTGAAAATTATGGATCCAAAAACATTAGTTGACAGAAAAACTGTTTTAAAAGAAGTAGAAAAAATAAGTAATGGTGTTAATGATGTACTTACCCTGAATAAAACATGATCCATAAGAAATCAACTTCTCTGTAATGTAATTTCATAATATGAAAAACACGTTTTCTTACTATTAATACTAATATTAATTTTATACCAACGTTTTAGTCTTTTAAAATGAAAGTATTTGTCATGGCAACCATGCCATCTTGCTATAATGCCACAATTTTCAAATTTAAATAGATTAGTCCAACTAAATAAGCTAAGGTCCTGTGACACCTTGGCTTATTTTAGACCTATTTCAAGATTTTTATCTTTATTGTCAATACAACAATATACACAGTATACAGGGTATTGAAATGCTGTTTCACCCCAAGCCCTCCGTGGTGCATTTATAAGAATGTATGATAAACAAGGACAGGACAAAAGACAATACAAAGTGATCGTGTGCAGTTACAGTGAAGTGAGATGTTGTGCAGTTATTATTGAATACCAGGTTCAAGTGATGGTCAGGATATTGTGGACAAGACGAAACAAAGACATGTGCAAGATGTAAAATATGCAAATATAGCATTATGTGGAGAGGGGAGATGGGTGGGAGAGGGCCTCCAATGATCCTGTCTGCTGTCCTCACTAGCCGCTGCAGAGACTTCTTTCCCTGGTAAAAAGATGGGAGGGTGGGAGGAAGCAGACTGGCCTTCTTCAGCTTCCGAAGAAAGTGAAGATGTTGTTGAGCTTTCTTCGTGATGGTGGTGGTCATCTGACATGTGCACACCCAAGAACTTCACATTGTTGACCATCTCAACAGCACATCCATTGATGTGAGGTGTGGGCCGCTGAGCTCTTCCTGAAGTATTTGATCTCCTCCCAACTTCTTTTTTTGCATATTTGTCACACTGAAATATTTCAAATCATCAAATAAATTTTGATATAAAACAAAGATAGCTCTAGTAAATATTAACTGTCATTAACTACATTTTAATTGAAGCTGAATTCAATTTCACTAGTCACACTCGGGCCTGATTACTACCAGACTTGTCGAATCAAGAAATCACTCACACAGAACATGTCTGACAAAGTGAAGTAGATCTCATAAAGCAATGCATCATACCACAATCTAAAGAAACAGATGAGTAAAGAAGTCACTGACATCTAGAATATCCACAAAGGATGGTGAAAACAACATGCATACAGGAATAAAGGCAGGGATTGAACGACCTATCTCCGGATCAGTAAATTATTTGCATGAAATATATGAATTACTCAGGGTTAGTTGTGTCTCAGGAGGAGAGCCACAGCCACATGTCTAGTGTCTGTGACGGTGTCTTCTCCCACGAGTGCGGACACTGGGGGCCTTGTGGGGTCTTCGGCGTCTGCGAATGGAGGAAAAGACCTTGTGTGTTACAGTTGCAGCAGGTACAGCTGTGATTATGAATATCCATTACAGTTGTCTGCATTTGGTCTGGATCGCTCCTACCTATGCAATTGCCCATTGTGTCATCTCCTTTTGTCCAAAACAGTAGTACCTGCTTCATGTCATGGGTTCTATTTATAAACTCACCTGGCAACTTTAGTGATGCCACTGATGTTGTTACTATTGGTGTGACACTATACATAATTTATGGCAGTATCTGAACTCTGGTGTAAATGAGGACACAGAGGGATGAAGGGTTTAGGTCATAGCTCCGCAAAGGATTACCGCTCACTCGCAGAAGAAACGCATGGCATTCTCCTGGCTACTCAGCATCCAGGCGATAGTTCCCGACTGACCGACGGGATCTCCCACGCCCACACCGATGGTGGCTGGGATCACGGCGCCGTGGCACTGCGGAAAAGGCCTGTGTTTTTTTACCATCAGCGTGACATCCCCGTGCTGCCTTTGCAGTTTTAAGGCCCAGGGAAACATGTCCACCTGCGCTCTGTGGCGGCCGTGACCACTGGCGGTAAGGAAAGGCTGCTCTTCATAGAGGACTCACGCTCGAGGAGACGTTTTCTGGTTAACTCCCAGAAGAGCCTCGGGAACTCTCATGTTGTCTTTGCATACATCCACAACGGTATATTATCTAATCTTAGAAGAAACTGGAGATTTCCCGCATACCACCAGAGAGAGCCCAAGTGCCACTAGTGGTACGTGTACCACAGTTTGATAACCACTGGTCTAATTAAAGTTGAATCAAATAGTTTTTAAATAAAATATACCTCAGATGTCAATTCTGAGGCCAGACTAGATTTCTTTAAGATTTTAAAAGAGACATGGCATTTAAAAAAAATCACGATGACACTGCCTTTAAAGCAGCAGCTGAACGGCTTCCTAAAAGCTTTTCCCAAAGCTGAAGTCATGAATATTATATGTTAGCTGCTCAACATTAGTCTTGTAAACACATGAATATTCTGGTAACACTACAGAAGAGAAGAAAATGTGTGGACTTCTATACGACTCAATAAGGCTTTTAGCTGTGGCCTTGATTATTTTATCCATCTCACTTCAGAATACACAAAAACTGTCAGATGTTTGATAGCGGTGACTATTATGTTTCAATCCAGAAGTGTTTTGGTGCAATTGCTGCATTTGCTGAAGATTCTCGTTACTAGAAAAAAGCTAAATTCATTGGCAATTTTCTTGACACCAATGTTTCTGACTTTCTTTGGCTTTCTTCCTCTGGGTTTTCAGAGGTTGGTGGTTGACTCTGACCCTCTGTGGGTATTAAAATAATGTATCAAATCATATTATTTAAATTATTAATTCATGCAATTTAAAAAGATTTAGTTATTTCACTATTAAAGTGTATAATGGTTTTGTATGGCATGCCAAGAGTGCCAAAAGCCATTCATTAAATAATTAATTAAATGTATCATTTATTAATCACAAATGGGAATTAAAGTAATAAATAATTTTGTAATTATATTGTTAATTAATTAAAACATAATTTCCTTTAAATTAAAAGCACATTTAATTATTTCAGTTAACTATATCATGTTTCCCATATGGGGGATCAAGAATGCCAAAACAAAATGACTAAGTACGTTATTAATTAATTAATTAATTATGTGTGTCAATAGATAATTCATTTTGGAAACGCATGTATAAATAATTTATGAACTCACTTTTTGTGTGTGTGTGCGTGCCAACAACATGTTTATTGAATAAATCCCCATTGACAGCATTAAAAGTCTTTATAAAATGAACAAGCTACCAAAAGCAAAATATTCCTAAGGCATTTCAGGACACCATTTGAAAATCATAGATTGCTATATATACACTGCCAGTCAGAAGTTTGTATTTATAGGCAATGCTTATTGTAGCGAGGCTCAACGTGTTAATGCTAGCTTACTTTAATTAACAACACTGTCATATAAAAGGCTGGGGTGGCACTAGGGGTGGCAAGAGATTATAGATCCGCCCTGTTTATGATCACTTTGAGAAACAGATGTTTAGCTGGTGCTACTGAACTTTCAGAACAGAGCAAACTCCAGAAATGAAATCTGTATCTGATACACAGATGAGCATTATCACACGCAGGAAGATCAGAAGAATCAGGTGGCTGGTGGAGAGACTCGAACACATCCTCAGACGCTGGAGTCTGGAGCTGAGCTGTGAGCAGGTTTGTTACCAGCTGATGAACAAATCTTTAGTTTAATTCTCCCTGAAATGTAGAGAAAAGAGAGAGCAGGAAAGGTAAAGTTAGTTAGTTTATTACATTCAGAGAAGTATTTTAATATGTTTTATTGATAAATGTTCTCTCAGCCTGTGGAAAGGCTTTCCATTGGCTGAGCACAGAGACTTTCTGTGACGTGATCTTCCACCAGTTTCGTCCCTGTTAACCTGTGGGTGTTGATTGGGTGACCATCAAGAGCCTGGGACGGTGGTATAATGCAGACCTCAATGATACCTGGCAACTTGAACAACTAAGCCAGAACATGGCTAATGACCTCAGGCGGATTAACAACACTGCACTCCCAGGGAAACTCAAGCTCTGGTGCTTCCAGTTTGGGTTGTTACCCAGACTACTGTGGCTGCTAACAATGTACGAGGTCTTGCTCAATCATGCCAATCGATTGTTCCTTATCGTCCTAATTAATTTCCTCTTATGGCAAATTAATGACACATTGGGAGGATTTGTGTTTATGTACAACTGTTTGAACTTTTGACCCCACACTTTCTTATAAATGGCTCCACAAGTCATTTAGACTATTATAAACACATAATGAGTTTCTCAGATCTTCCTGTTGTTGTGAGTAACATCAATCCAATGAGTACGGTCAAAGAAATTCATTTTAGGCAGGTGTAGTAAGGACTTCTTTGTGGAAAATATTACACTTGTGTGTATTGCTTGCGAATTCCACCAACTGTTCAGTGTCATTTGGCATGTTAAGTTCATCTTGGTCACAGACATGTAGAGTTAATCTATCTAGATTAGCTGTTGGACCACATTCGATGATTCCTTTTCTGCCTGGCAGCTGCCGACCGTGTTTATTTTCCTTGTAGTTCTTTGGCTGTTTAATGCTTAATGATGGGAAGAAGGATTGTAGTAGGAGGTCTGTAACACAATGCTTCAGAAGCACTGTGTCGAGACTTGATTCGTTTGGCCACAGTCATGTAATCAGTGACGTCCAAAGTTTCATTTAGAAGGTAACTGCTTCAGTACCTGATTCAATGGTTCCTAAGGAAGTGAATCATTTGCAGGATTTTATTGTGGAGTGTTTTGATGGTGAGAGATAGCAAACTGCTGATCATTCTATTGAGAGATATGGAGCCAGCGAGGAAGAGAGGAGGTTCTGTCATGTGGGAGCATTTTGAGTTGATTTTGGCCAATTGGGTCAGTTTGCCAGCTTTCTGTTCTTGTTGTTTGCCTTTGTTTTGGGTGTACTTATTTTATCTGAAAATGTCTTAACAAAACATCTGCTTTTCATAATAAACATATCATCATTGCATTATTTTATTTTTTAAATAATCTTAAAATGTTATTCTACAAAATGTGCAGCAATTTAATTTGTTTATTCTTTTTTGGTGATAGTCTGTGGGACCCAGGAAGACCGCATACCTGCATCTCTACCAACTTCCATTGCAGTTTCTGTGCACTCCAGCCTCTTCTTCAGTCTGTTCCATGTTAGAGGATTTTCTCCAAGGCAGGAGAAATTATCTCCAAGAAAAGAAACAGACTCGACCATCGCACAGTGGAACAAATTCTCTTTCTAAATAAAAACCAAACAGGATAACCTTAAATGCATCATGTTTTTACTTTACAAGTTCATAAACATTTTCCCTTTCCAGTTCACAATCAATTCTACTCCCAGGTCAAAAATATGTATAAGAAAAAATGCCTAATATAATATTATTTATAAACCTACCTGGCCAGCTGTCTAGTGATTAACTGCATAAGTATATGGAGGCAGGACCTCCCAGCAGAAGCATACTCCTTAATATGTTATACATTATTATATGTATATTATATGTATTTTTCATCTATTGTATTTACAAACATCAAGGAGTTACAAGCAAAGAAAGACCACACCATGGCACATGCTTAAATAAGGAAAGTTTATTGATCAAATTTATTTATTAAAAAATAGACATAATTTTTTCACCCAAAAAATACATGTTCAAAGCAACACAAGGTGGACCAATATCAGACAGAATTGTGAACTCCACTTTGTAGAGTAGGCAGTCATAATGAAGCAGTACACTTTCATTTGTAAATTCAAGCAGTCCTTCATATTTTTGGCCACCAGGTGTCACCAGAGATGACTGTGTTGAAAAGCTTCGGCATCAATAAGCCAGTATTGAAATATAATGTTTTTTCTGCTACATTTACAAAACAAGTTTTCCCGGCAGCCGAGTTCTAATCTTAGCTAGCTAGGTCTCAAGGTGCCATCTTTCAAGATTTATATCTTGTGTATGTGTGTAAGCCGCCGCAGCTGAACTGGGGGAAAATATAATTAAAAGCTGTACACATGAACAGGCGGTGGCGGTAATGCATCGCCGCGGAGGTCGAGTTCCTCTTTCACAAACCACAAAAGAAGAAGGACCTATGACGCGCACTCTCCGCCAATATGAAGGCACCCAGGGCAGTTTCTGCCTTTGCTTTTAAAGAATAAGCCTTGTAATTTTTTTTACAAGTGCTAAATCCGCCAGCCTGATTAAAGTAGGTGTGACACCGAAAAAATATCTTGGGTGAGACCGTGTTTTCATTTACAGATTAGCATGCAGGCTACTGGAGCAGGCTAAGATAGGCCCCGCGCTGAGATAAAACATGACACAGTTAACTTTAGCATTAGCCTGCATTCGCTTGTTTTATTCTCGTATGAGATATGCAGAATAATTACTGTTAATCTACGACGCTTTTTGAATTTCAGAAGCATCCTGGTTAGTTAAAGATGGTAAACAGAACTCAGTTCTTGTAGTTAACGGGGAACTTCAGCTTGCTTAAAGGTAGCATGCGTTGTTGCTCGCTATAAGTTAGCGCAGAGCAGCTGCACTGACGGCAGATATTTGCATGTGTTTATGTTTTGGATGCTCCATTATGCACAGGAGTACTAAAGCATCCGGGAAGGCCATGTGATTACCAAACTGTTGCAACAGTAGCAGTGAGAAATGGGTTTTCAGTTGCAGTTTAAGATGGGTTGTAGGGAATGAATTAATTCAGGGAGTTTGAGGGAATCGCACTGCAAAGAAAGTTTCCTGCCAGACTTGCTTTGTTTTTTTTTTTGTTTTTAAGTCATTTTTTTCCTAAAGTGCCAAGTTGTAAACATGCAGATGATTAAAGAGAGTTCACTGAGCGTTGTTTGTCATAATTGCAGTCCTGCAGAATGTCCAAGATCAGGCGGAAGGTAACAGTGGAAAATTCAAAAACCATATCTGACAGCAGCAGCAGCAGCAGCACCACAACCAGCAGCAGCACCAACCCCGCTGCTCCGTCCCGCAGGCCAAGTGTGTTTGAAAGGCTTGGACCCAGCACTGGGAGTAATGCTGCTGATGTATGTATAACCCGGAGGTCAGAGAGGGTTTTCCCCCTCCAGGGGTAAATCTCCAAGTCTCTGTGTCTTTGAATGAATATGGCACAGTGCTTTGTTTCTTCTTTGGCCTGGCTCATCTGTGTTTTGTTTTTTTGTTGTTGCTTTTCTTTTTTTTTTAGAGTCACTGTAGAAATTGGCTGAAGACTGGGAATTGCAGTTACGGCAACACTTGTCGCTACACACATGGAACTCAGCCACGAGGCAAAGGATTTAGCTTTAGCCGGTAGGATGGCTGCGGTTATTGAATTTGTATTGAGTGTTGCTTTTAAAATCAAATCGACCTTTGTGCATGTGTTTTTCTAATCTCTGCGTTAATGAAACAGGTCAACCGAGAGGCCCACAGGTGATCTGCGGGAGAGGATGAAAAATAAAAGACAGGATGTTGAAGCAGAAAACCTGAAACGAGACCTAGATGAGCCCTCGTCCCCCACAGTAAGAGTGAGTCCTCTGCTCTTTTGGTCTTTGATAACAACGGATTTCTGAATGAAGAATCTAGTTTCGATTTGAAATCATTTTGGAAATTTTAGTACATGGTGCACAACGGTTTGTTTGTGTGTGCTACTGTAGCAGAGAGAGTCCTCCAGAGGCCGACACAGAGAGAAGGAGGATATAAAGATAACAAAGGAGCGTACCCCAGGCAGTGAAGAAGAACCCACAGAGTGGGAAACCAATCGTGAAGGTTCGGTGTTTTGTTTTGATGACGTTTAAAGGGAAATTGACACATTTATTTGTAAATACCATTTTGATGTTGTGGATTGAAACGCTCTTCTCCATTCCAATTTTATTGTTTTGTTTTGGGGGTTTTTTCCATTAATTTTCAGACTCTGATATCGGTGATTACGACTATGAGCTATCCCTAGAGATGAAGCGTCAAAAGATTCAGCGTGAACTAATGAAATTAGAGCAGGAAAACTTGGAGAAGAGAGAAGAAATTGTCATCAAGAAAGACGAAACTCAGACGAAAGCCAGAGCGACAGCCTTGCCAAAGGTAAGCGATGAGATGCTTTGATTATTTCAATACGTGACCTCTGGATTTCAAAAGTATTAGCACAGCTCACTTCCTCTGTTTAAGTAGCTGTCTGCAACACATCTGAATTTTAGCTCGATCTGTCACATTTGTCCTTCAGGCTTCCCCTGAGCAGTTAAGCTCCAAAGATTCACCCTCATCCAGAAAGTCCAGTGGCTCGCCAAAACATAAACGGGGAAACAAAGGGCTGGGCTCGGGGAAGAAAGAAAAGAAGGCATCAGTATCCTCACCTGTTTTAGAAACTACCAGGTAGGGAAGAAAAACAAAATATGAGACCTACAGATTTGATGAGGTTCTGATAAATATCTTCCATCATTCTTTAACCAGGTCTTCGAAAGGAAGCCACAGCAAGAAGAAAGGGCCCCGTACCCCCAGTCCCCCTCCACCGGTCCCTCTGGACCTGCCCGTGGTCGGGAAAAAACACAAAGGCAAGCACAAAAATAAGGAGAAGTCTGACGAGAAGCAGAAGGAGGGTAAAGATCGTGGACGAGATGCCGAAAAACACAAAGAGAAGAAGGAAAAACGCAGGTAAAGTGGGGATTTAGTGCATGTGCATCCTGCAGCATGTATATGTTTTTAATTCGTTGAGTCATATTCACAGTTATCCTGAGTTATCTTTTTCAACTTCCAGTGCTCGCTCTTTATAATGTCACCTTTTTGTTTGAAGGGACAGATCAGACAGTTCGCACAAGGCCAAGAGGTCTGTGACATCAGAGGAGCGATCTGGTAGCGTGTCATCTCCCTCCAGGGGTGCGTCGCCCTCAGCCAGGAAGAAATCTACCTCTCCTAAAGCTTCCTCCCATAAGGCTTCTATCTTGGCATCCCCTCCTCACAGGTGAGCACACAGAAACCTTTTTTCCAGGGCTGTAGTCATTGCAGGATCACTCACCTGTACTCCTTTCTTCACAGTTGGGTAAATATTTGGTCATGACAGCCAAGAGGAAATAACCTTTTGTCACTGCAGGTCTCCTTCTCCTCCACGCCACCAACGCAGCCCCACTCCTCCCCGTCACCGCTCGCCTTCGTCCCACTCCGGTTCCTCTGCCCAGCGGCACTCTCCCTCTCCTCGACGCCGTCGTTCTTCTTCCCCCATCTACCACAGAAGCGCCACCGCTCAGGCCTCCGCCTCCTCACCTCAGAGCTCCCGGCGCTCTCGTTCGCCTCCCGCTTCTCATGACACCTCGTCACCCCATCGGCGGTCTGACAGGTTGAGCCCCAGCCGGCGCCACTCCAGGGGCCGCGAGAGGAGTCGCGGCGACAGAGAGAGGAGTCCTCCCATCCAGGACCGCAGACATGAGCGCAGAGATGGTATCTTCATCTTCCATTACTGGATTTCTATTTCTCAGTCTGTTGGCTGATTGGAGCCTTGCTTTAAAATACAGGCTGTCAATTAAAAAAATGTACATTTATCTGCTATTAAGCTATTTGTCTTTTCTCCACACAGATAGTCACAGCAAACGAGAGAAGGACAGCATCCGTGACGACCGGGACTATGACTCTGAACAGATCTCCCGGGATGCCCGTGACGAACGGGACGCCCGAGATGCTCGTGACCGACGGGACGCTCGTGACCGAGGAAGGGAACCAACTCGAGATTCTCGTGATAGCAGGGACGTGAAGGACTTGAGAGAGAGCAGGGTGGAGACCTGCTCCAGTCGAGACCGCGAACGGGAGCGAGAGAAGGACCGGGAAAAGGAGAGGGAGCGAGAAAAGGAAAGAGACAGAGAGAGGGAGAGGATTGATGCACACAGGAAGGAGGACCTGACTCAGGATGACAGGAGCTACGGGCGAGGGCATGGACGTGACGATGGAGGCAGAGGAGAAGCAAGGACTGAGAGCAGGACGGACAGAGCTGATAGGAATGGCCGAGGTAGAGGACGCGCTAATGACATACCTGAGAAAGGCAAGTAAATAAAAGCAAAGTGATTATTTTCA